TATTTACAGACAGGGTCTCACTAAGTTGTTTAGCTCCTCGCCATTGCTGAGGCTGGCTTTGAACTTTTGATCCTCCTGTCTCAGCCTCCAGAGCCACTGGGATTACAGGTGTGGGCCACTGCGCCTGGCTGGGCCCTGTTTTTTTTTTTTTTTTAATTTGTTACGGGGTCTCACTATGTTACCCAGGCTGGTCTCACCACAGCCTCCCAAGTAGCTGGTACCACAGGCAAGTGCCACTGCACCCAGCTTCTTTGGGCATTTTCAAAATGTCCCTCCACGGAGGCAAAGGTGCAGCTTCAGTGCCACCTGGAGAGATCAAGGAAGGGCCCAAGCAGAGTGTGCCCAGGACATGGTTCTCTGCTCTGCAATGAGCTGGAATTAAAGTTCAAGGTCCCCCAGCGTTAGGCGGGGGCCACTGGGTATGAGCCCTGGCTGTAGTGCGGGGACAGACGAGGGGCACAAACATACAAGAGCCTCCCTCACACCACTCTTGAGAAAGGTCCTGAAGGTAACGTGATGGCGACCAGGGCTTCTGCCCTGGCCAGAGCATCCTGGAAGGCCTTGTCCATAAGGTGAGGCTGGAGGTGAGCCCTTGTCCTTGTGGAGGCCGCCGCCCAGAGTGCACGCAGGGGCAGACGCTTGCCTTAGGTTTGGTTCACAGCCAGCCCGGCTCTGGGGTCAGACTGGCTGCCAGCCCAGGAGCTCAGGACAGGGAGCTGGGAGGCCAGCTGAGGGCCAGGGTCCCCCCTGCTGCATCCCAGAGAGCTCCTCTTTGACCCCGAAGGAATCCTAGCACCAGCTGCCAAAGGAGGGTCTCCCACCAGCCAGACTCCCCAACCTTCCTGCCTACATTGATCAGTACCCTAGACATGAGCACCCCAGTCATTTAGAGGGGCCCTGTCGGGTGCCAGTTGTGTTGTCCGGAGGCAGGAACAAGGCTCACCTTCCTCTCCGTTCAGATGAAAAGTAGCCCTCTCGCCAAGCCCGAGTCCCCCAGAGGGTGGCCTTGCCCGGCTCCTACTCCAGGCTCTGACCACGTCTGCAGCCTTAAGTTACTTGAGTGTGCAGATGCTCCCCGCCTGGGCACCTGCCTGTCCGTCCCCTCTTCAGGAGACACTCTGCCCCTGGTTTACACAAGGCTGCTTCCATCACCCCTTGGGCTCAGTTATAGGGCCCCTTAGAGAGGTCCCCAGCCCACATCTCAGCAGGTGGACTCAGCTCCACGGATTCTGCCATCTCTCCCGGTTGGTTTTGATCATTTGTGATCAGACATTTCTCTCTAGAGGAGATGTGACCCTCGTGAACTCAAGGAGCTCAACTTCTTGGTCCACTGATGGATTCCCAGAGCCTAGACCAACTGGCACAGAGCAGGTAATTAACAGAAATTTGCTGAACGTATGTGTGCACGAAAAAATGAGCTCTCTGAAAGAAAGAGACCTGGTAGTAGCGGTTGGACTGGAGAAGACACTGGTGGAGGAGGAAGAAAGGGCCACCTGATTTGTTGGGCAAAAATGTAGTACAGGCTGGAGACAAGTTCTAGGGTCAAGAAGGCAAATGTCCAGGGATGAGAAAACACTTCAAAGGTACTGTGGCATAGCCGAAAGAGCAAGGGTGTAATGAAACCAGAACCTTTGCATTTCCATATGAGCTGTGTGATGCTGAGCAAGTGTCTTAACCTCTCTGTGTCTGCGCTTCCTCGTCATCTGTCAAGTGACAGCAGTGTTTTAGGGGTCTGTGTACTATAAAGAGCTACGTAGCCTCAAGGCTGTGTTAGTTCAGGCCTGGCCCCTGTGAGTGGGCAATTTCAACTCCCATAGAGTCAACAGGACTCAGGGGCTGTTCGGCTCTAGCCACCTCTCAGCTTCTCCATAGGGAGGGAGGCTTTTGAGGAGATGAGTTTTTGAATTCTCAGCTTTTCACAAAAATAGCCTCCACACGGAGCCCCTGGTTTCAAGCAGACGATTTCTTTGTTACTCAGCGACTGGTGGGTGGGTGGGTGGTGCCGGCTGCTCATTTCCTGAATGAACAGCTGTGCCCTCGGCTGCGGGGGATAATCATCACACCACTTCACTGAGGCCCAGCCTCCTCCATTCACTGCACCCGGCTGCTGGCGGCCCTGCGCCCATGCTGGCAGCCAGGAGGGGCCTCGGTGAAAGAAACTGGATGCCAAGGGAGGGGCTAAGGTCCTCAGCCCTGGCCCTGGCCTCCTCTGCAGTGAGCCAGGCCTCAGCCTCCTCAGAACTGGCCTTCATGGCCTCCTGGCCTCCCAGCCTGTGTCCTTCCCCTCCCTCCCCTCCCTTGTCCTGCCACGCCAGCCTCCTCCTCTGCAGTGCCAACATGCACACCCCCCAGGGCCTCTCCCCACTGTAATATGTCTCCGGTTTCTGTCAAGGCTGGCTCCTTCTTGTCACTTGGAGCTTAGAGAAGTCCTCCTTGGCACCCCTGGCTGCTGGCCCCTGGCTCAGCCATCAAAAGGTCAAGGTGACTGGGAGGAGAGCCTGCCTCGGCACTGACATTCCCGCCCAGGTCCTGACACTGGTTCGATGGGCCAGGCGTGGACAGGGGTCCTGCAGATGGAGAGGGGAATGATTTCCCAGGTGACAGCAGGGAGGCAGTTCCAGCAGATGGGACAGGTGTCCACTGTGGCCCCAGCCCTTCTTCACAAGGGCAGGCTGGTGTGTTGGGAAGTCACAGGTCCAGAGGACAGGACCCAGGCTCCTGTCAGGCACCTAGGAGCCCTGTGACCCCAAGAGGGCTCCAAGCCTGTCTCCTCATCCAGGCGAGCCTCATGGAGCTGTTACTAGAAGCAGCATCACAAAACAAAACAGCAAAATAAATCATTGAGTCGTGCCTGATGGCACACACCTGTAATTCCAGCTACTCAGGAGGCTGAGGCAGGAGGATCTCAAGTTAGAGGTCAGCCTGTGCAACTTGGTGAGACCCTCAGCAATTTATGAAGACCCTGTATCAAAATAAAATAAAAAAGGCTGGGGGTGTTGCTCAGTGGTAAAGCACCCCTTGGTTCAATCTTCTTTTTTTTTTTTTTTTTTTTAAGTTTGACCATTTTTTTTTAAAGAGAGAGAGAGAGAGTTTCAATATTTATTTTTCAGTTTTTGGCGGACACAACATCTTTGTTTGTATGTGGTGCTGAGGATCGAACCCAGGCCGCACGCATGCCAGGCAAGCGCGCTACAGCTTGAGCCAAATCCCCAGCCCCTGGTTCAATCTTCAGTACAAAAAAAAAAAAAAAAGAAAGAAAGAAAGAAAGAAAAAGAAAAAAGAGACAAGAATAAAATTATTGGGTGATTGTGAAGGTGAAACACATTACCTCACAGGTAGGACAGACCACTTTTAATTTTCATAGTTGTTTCTCTTTCCACTCCCACCTCCTTCTTATTTATTATTATTTATTTCTTTATTTTTGCAGAGCTGGGGATTGGACTCGGGGGAGCTTTACCACTGAGCTACATTCCCAGCCCTTTTTATTTGATTTTGAGACAAATTACTGCTAAATTGCCCAGGCTGCCTCAAATTTACAATCCTCCTGCCTCAGCCTCCAGAGTAGCTGGGATTACAGGTGTGTGCCACCACACCTGGCTTCCTTCTTAATTAATTAATTTTTGCAGACCCTGTCTTAGAATAAAAAATGGGAGGGAAAGGGCTGGGGATATAGCTTAGTGGTTGAGCACCCCAGCGTTCAATCCTCAGTACCTAGAGAAAAAAAGAAAATGTCGCCTGCCCAGTGGTACTAAATACCAGCAGGGAAGGACTTCTTTCCAAGCCAAGGCTGAGGGGAAAGGAGGGGAGGAGGCAGAGGCCCCATTGTGGAGGCCTCCTCCACCCAGGCCCTGGGCTCACAGATGTTGTTGCATTTTGGCCCCAACAATCCTCAGGGGAGACTCAGAATGATAAGGGGTTTGGCCAGGGACACACTGTGGGGCTGAAATTCAAAACTGGCTCTTGTCTGATGTGGACCCTGGGCTTCCTTTAGGCGCAGGCAGCTGTCCAGCAGGGTGCTGTGCCTGGACTGGATCAGTCCCCTCTGCCAGTGTGTGTGTTTGTGTGTGTGTGTGTGGGGGGGAGAAGCTAGCTCTTTACTCCCTTAGGGTCCTCTTCAGTTCAATTCCATAGACCATCTCAAGGGCCTGCTGTGTGCCAAAAAGGCGCCTTCTCCGGACTTGCCCACCTTCTTCACTCCAGGGCAGGGCATCTCACAGTCAAGCCAGGGGACAAGCGGAGGGCCATGTGGGGGCAGATGGAGGGCAGGAGCGTCCAGACAGAGGAACGTCTGGGAGTCCCTGGGAACTTGGCTTGCCCCCAGAGGGCCTCCCCCCTGCCGGGCCTCCCTTCTCCCGGACGCAGCCTCGCGCGCGCACCCCACCCCTTGCTCTAATTGCCAGGAATGCGTCGGCAGCGCGGTCCCCAGCTCTTCCTCGCCGGCGTTCCTCAGCGGCTGCCCTGACAGGGCCGGGCAAATTACACGGTGGCCCAGCCATAAAAGCCACTTTCCCAAACAAGAAGCTTTAGGCTGAGACGCAGCTAAGTCACTCCCCGGCGGTGCCTGGCTCGGGAGGTGGTGTCTGGGTCGGAGGCGACAAAGCCGGGTGTCCCTTTAAGCAGGGATACAAATTCCCACCGGCCCCTCCCGCCGCTCCCCTGACGTCAGCGGGAGGCGTGCGGGAGTGAGTGGGGGGCCGCGGCGCGCTCCGCGGCGCCTCGCACTCGCCACAGCCGCGGGACCGTCCCCCGCCAGCTCCGCCCCGAGGCCGAGCGCCCGGACCCCGCGCTGGGAGAGGTAAGGGCGGGACGGCGAGGGCACCTGCGCTGGGAACGGCGGCTCCGGCGGGGACAGGGCGGGGGGCGCGGGGACCGGCGGGAGGGGGCTGCGCCCGCCCGGCTCGGCGGCGGGAGGAGGCCGGGGGCCGCGGCGACAGCGCCCCTCCCGCCCCCCCTCCGCCGGACCCCCAGGGAAGCCGAGGCGGAGCGGCTCCCCAGCCGGCATGCGCCTGTCGGGGCTCGGTGTGGCCCCGGAGGCAGAGGCGGCCGATCCCTGCCCAGCCACGGCCTCGGTCTGGGGAGCCGGGAGGGAGCCGGTGGCGGGGAAACCACAGGGCGCCGTGCGGATGCCAAAGGCGAGTGCTGCTGGGAGCATCCCCGGTCTCTGCCCCTGGAATCTGGGCTGGGACTGGGAGGGACCGTCGGGGACAAGCAGACTGTGGCGCCCGGAGCAGCTGTTTCCTCGGGACTCTATTTTCCCCCATGTGGATGGGGATAGCGGTGTTAATTGGCTTGGAGAGGTGGCTCCTTGTCATTTTCACCTTGGAGCCACCCCACCGAGCGTCCCTGCCTCTCCCCAGCCTGCTGGGCTCCCTCTGGCCTCCCCCTTGCTGGGCACAGCCCTACTCCCCCAGGGCAGGGTGATAAGCCAGGACCTGCAGGGACACTGCTGCTGTGGGATGCTGGGAGTCAGGGTGGCCTTGGCTGGCAGCGGACCCCTGAGTGGCCTGGCCCTGACATGAGGAGGCTGGGTGGAGACAGGGGCGATGCTGGCTGGCACCCACGGGGTGGGGGGCAGCAGGTCCTGCCAGGCTGCCAGCCTGCGGGTTCTTCCCGGGCAGAGGAGGGAGACCAGAGAGAACAATAATAAATACAGAGGGTGAACTGCTGTGTGGCGGCCTAGGGGAGGGGAGGAGGAAGTGTACCCGGCGGGGGTGGGCAACCTCTCTGAGAGCCTGGCACCACTCGCCTGATGCCCTCCAGGAGGGGGCTTTCTACCCTGGGGAGGGGGGAGCGTTTTTCCCAAACCTGACTCCATCACAGATGCCTCTGGGCCTCCAAATTCTGAACATTTCCTCTTCCCAGCCTTGCCCCCCACCATCTCCCTGAAGTCCTTTCATTATTTGCCTATTCTGATTTGTATGCCCCTACCTCCAAAAAATTAAAAATAATAAATAAAAGGTGCAAGGTGCAAATAGGAACTGGAAGCTCAGGGGGCTGGGAGGGCCACAGACATTTACACCAGGCCTGGAAGAGATGGCTGGACAATGTTCATGGATGCTTGCTGGTCAGGGGGCCTCTAGGGACCCTGGAGAAACCACACAGATGGGTGGTGGAGAGGGGACATCCATCAGTCCAGGACACCCTCAGGGCGGCACCCGGCAGAGGGCGCTCTGAGCTTGACTGAGCGGGTCACGTCCACTAGTCACAACCTTGGTGGCCAAGACCCAGAGCCTTGTGAAGGGGTGCTTGGGCAGTTCAGATATCGATGTCCATGCTGCCCAGCAACGTGGGGGGCTCTTCCTCTGCCTCAAAGCCAGTGAAATGATAGGCCTGGAGTGTGGGGGACAGAGCACACTGGACATCTCCAGGCTCTGGGGTCTCACTGATTTTCATTCAAGCTCAGCCACTCTGGGTGACTTTGATTAGTCTGTTTCTCTTTCTAGGGGGCTCAGAATGGGAAAGTGACTTGCCTAGGACCACACAGCCAGGCGGAGGCGGAGCTGGGATGTGAAGTGCTCTCCTGGTGTGGTCCTAAAGGTTCCCGACACTGTCCCTGCCAAAGAAGCCCAAAGGCCTTAAACATAGTGGCCCAAGACAGCCAGGGCTCAGACAGGGGCAGGGCAAGTGGACACTCAAGTCATTAAGCACTAGCATTGGCTGAGGCAGCCCTCTGTGCATACCAGGCACAAGCACCCTCGTGTACACACACACACACACACTGTGGGGGGAGGAACCAGGTTTAATTAGGTCAACTCCAGCTGCAGGAGCAGCTTTGACACTGGTATTTTAAGGAGTGTCTGGGAGGCTGGGGGAGGGGAGCAGCCAGACAAGTTTCAGCTCTGTCTGGTGGTCCCAAGGTTATGTTGTCACCCTACAGGGTGACAAAGCCCCCAGCATTCAGCAAGCCCTTCCATTGCCATCCTCATGTTCCCCGTCCTTTCTATTTTTAAGCAGCTGTACCCGTTCCTCTCCATCTGCTCCCCCATGATGGGGGCTTGGGGCGGGGATGTTTTTATTGGGGGAATTGTTTTTAAGTGTGGCAGAGTTGGTGAGTGACTCACCCAAGGTCAAGGTCTGAGTCAGCGCAATGCCAGAAATAGAACCCCAGTCCTGGCTCCCCAGCTTTTCCACACCCCTGCTCCCCCTCTGGGGGCAGTTGGTCCCCAGCCCCTCCCGCCCAGGGCCTTTCTGTACTTTGCCCCCAGACATCTCCAGGGTGCAGAAAAGGTACTCTTGACCAGCTGTGGGACTTCAGGGAGCCTCTTTCACTCCTCTGGATCCCGAGTGTGCTGACGGCAGTCTTTGTGTAGATTGGGGTGCAAGGCTTGGCAGGTGGCTATAGCCATTAGGTGGTAGCAGGACTTCCTATGCCAAACTCATGTGCCCATTTTCCACACTGAACTGGGGCTCTCCAAGGGCAGAGCTGTCTTCCACATGTTTGTCCCGGTGCCTGGTACTTCGTTTTATTTCAGTTACAGGTATATGTGTAAATATATATATATATTTTTTAATTGGAATATAGGACACACTGGTTAGGAAATGTCACCTTGGGGTCTGCCCCTTATATGTGTGTGTGTGTGTGTGTGTGTGTGTGTGTATTTATTTATTTATTTTACACAATACCTTTATTTCACTCATTTATTTTTTTTACGTGGTGCTGAGGATCGAACCCAGGGTCCCGCACATGTGAGACGAGCGCTCTACTGCTGAGCCACGACCCCAGCCCCCTTATGTATATTTTTGACAACCTCAGAGGAGAGGTGGACTGACCTTCTTCAATCATCTGGAAGAGCCATGATTCATGTAGCTAGAGATAAAGCTGAAGCCCAGAGAGGGACATGTGCTAGTCCCACATGTGCTGGTCTGCACAGCATTGGGTTTGCTCTCCCCCAGCTCCCCTGGTGGGGAAGGACCATAGCAACCATTTCTGCTCCATTCTTTTGGAGGGGAGTTAAGAACTAGAGCAGAGCCCCAGCTGCCTATGGTCACCTGCTGCCAGGGCTGAGTCACCATTCAGAGTGCCGTGGCTCTATGACACTGCATCACACCTGGGTCATCTCCAAATAGGCCTGACGTTTTGTTTTTGTATCCCTGGACCCCCCACTGGTAGATCAGGGTCCCTTAGAGTTTGGCTTTCATGCAGGGCAGTGAAGACTTGACTGGAGGATCAGAACCAAAGCCTGTGGCCTGGGAGATACCCTCCCACGGGGACATCGCCCTGGCTCTGCCCTGAGCAGGTGTCCTGATGAGGACACTGAGACCTGGAAGGGAGGGTCGCTGAGCAAGTGCTGCAGAGGCGGATCCAGCCTGGGCAGCCCCCCTGCTGCCAGGAGCTGGTTCTGAAGGGAATTATTCCAGACACCAAAGCCCCCGGACAGACACCAGATCCCTCTAGGGATGGCCTTTCCTGGAGTTGAAGCAAGTCTCTGTCTCTCTGCTCTTAGGGGAGTTTATTTTTGCCTTTAGTTTCTCAGGGAAAGTTCTTTTTGGGAAAATTCCAGCCTCGACCCAGCTGAACCAGGAACAGAACTGATCCTCATAGGTAGAACACTGGCTCTCCATCTGACAGTTCTGGGCTCTGTCACCGGCCTGCTTACCTGTGTGACCGTGGGTGAGTCATTTAACCTCTGGGAGCCTCAGCTGCCTCATGTATAAAATGGAAACAATTGTAATTTAGCCTTTCAGGGCGAGTGGAAGGTTCCAGAATAGAAATCAGTCCCTTACAGCCCTGTACAGTGGGAGGCATTCGGACAGCAAACCCTTCAGCATTTCCCCTGCCCTCTTTGACGGTGACACTCTGGAGACAGGGTCTGAATGGAGGCTTGCTCTGTGTCCCCACCCCATCTCCCTCACCTCCCAGGCTGCTGGGTGTTGAGCAGCTCCTCCCAGTCCAGAGCCCTCTCCAAGGTCACACAGCAAGTCCACAGCATCATGGGGCCTCTCACAGGGCTCCTGACTCCCCAGTGTAAGGCCCCCTGGTCAGCTCGTCCTGGCCTAAGTCCCAGCTCAGACATGGTGGCCCTGACTGAGTGACTGAATCTCTCTGAGCCTCGGTTTCCTTGTCTGCAAAATGGGGTCAGAGGCCTGCAACAGGAATTGAATAAAAAGAAACTTGAGGCTGGGCTGTAGCCCAGTTGGTGGAGCGCTTGCCTACTATGCACAGGCCTGGGTTCAGTCCCCAGAGCCCCCCAAAAAGAGAGAAAGAAACTGAAGGTATGAGGGGCAGGGACCCAGCAGTGGGCAAGTCCCAAGGAGGGTAAGAATGGAAGGCCAGCTGGGCCTACGTGCCCCCACAGCACCTCCAAACCTAAAACAGCCCGCCTGGGAGGAGCGAACCCCGTCCATCCCGTCCATCCTCAAGACACAATTCCATTTCTTGGACAGAGAGAGGAGGCTGGTGGGAGGGGCAGGCTGTAGGGCCTTGGCTCTCTGCATGGTGGAAGCTGCCCACAGCTATGCCCTGACGTGCCTCCTGCCTTCTCCTGGGAAAGGGCTTCTGTGGCTCTTCTATCCCCGCCCCCACTAGTCTCAGCTGCTTCTAGCCCCCATCCTGGGAGAGGAGGCAGGGAGGCTGTCCTCGCTTTACCCTTCCCACTGCCTGCTTAATGTGGAGTCTGGAGTGGTGGTCACTTGGCTGACCTGGGATCAATGGGCATCTGGTTGGCTCAGCAGTCCCCTGCTCAGTGCCTGCATCTCCCTGGTAACCGCTGGACTCTGTCTCCCTCCCTCATTCCCCCCAGGACTTCCCATCACCGGCTGTCACTGCCAAGCACAACTCCAGGCCTGGGAAAACTGCAGTGGGGAGGCCAGGACGCCCTGCTTCCCAGAGAGCCCGAGGCAGGGCTTCTGTCCTCACCACCTGCCAGCCTTCGCCCAGGTGGGGTAGGCTGTCCAAGGAAAGCCTGGCACCTAGTGCCTCCCCAGATGGGGCATTTTGGGGAAGTTTGCTGCCTGTCTTTTTTTTTGGTAACAGTTTTGTTGAGATATTATTTATAGGCCTTACAATCCACCTGCTTAAAGTGTGAGATTCTGGGGCTGGGGTGTGGCTCCAAGGTCGAGGGCCTGCCTGGTGTTCACGAAGCCTTGGGCTCCATCTACAGCACCACAAAACAGACACACAAAAAATCTCTGCCCTGTCCCCTCCCACAGCCCCTCTTCTGGTCATTGCATATAAATGGAATCATGCAATGTGTGGGCTTTGTAAAGGCTTCTTCCGCCTGGTGACCTGTGTTCAGGGTTCACCTGTGTTGCGGTGTGGTGTGAATTGCTACTTCGGGTCTTTTCACGGCCCATCGATGTCCTTCTATAAGGCTGTACCTCAGTTTGTTCATCTGTTGGTGGACATTTGGTTTGTTTCTATTTTTTGACTTTTTTGAATAGAGTTGCTATGAAATGAATTTGTTTTTTAAGTTGTAGGTGGACATAATATCTTTATGTTATTTATTTTTGTTTACGTGGTGCTGAGGATCGAACCCTGTGCCTCACATGCACTGGGCAAGTGCTCTACCCCTGAGCCACCATCCCAGCCCCATTGGCTGAAAGTTTTTGTGTGGTTGCTTCTCTCTCTCTTTTTTCACTTTTCTCCTTACTTCTTTTTTTTTTTTTTTTTTTTGTGGTGCTGGGGATGTCACCCAGAGCCTCATGAATGCCAGGTACCAGGCAGGCACCCTATCCCTAGGCTTCATCCCTAGCCCTTTTTTCTTCTAAGGGGCACATGGCTGGGGTGTGACTCAGTGGTAAAGTGCTTCCCTAGCATGTGTGAGGCCCTGGGTTTGATCCTCAGCACTTCAAAAAGTGGGGGGAAAGTATATTTTACCCAGGCAGGAGGACTGCTTGAGCCTAGGCGTTCTAGGCCAGCCTGGGCACATATGTAGTGAGATCCTGTCTCAAAAAATAACAATAACATGGGGTTGGGGATATAGCTCAGTTGGTAGAGTGCTTGCTTCGCATACAGAAGGCCATGGGTTCAATCCTCAGCACCACAAAAAAAAAAAAGATGAGGAGCTGGGGCATAGCTTGGTGGTTGAGTGCGTGCTTAGCATGCATTTGCAGCAGCAATCAATCAATTTGAAAAATAAAAAAATAAAATGGGGATGAAAATGCCAAGCCCGGCCCCCTAACTCCTGGAGTAAGCTCCGAGCTGAGTGCCCCACAGCCCTCCCTGGCTGCATGGGGAGCGCATCTGAGGCGGGAGGGTTCTTCCCCACCTCCACCTCCAGGGATGCAGAGCCAGCTCACCATCTTGGCCCAGAAAATTCTCACTTGCTGTGTGATTTGGGGCAGAAGCCAGGGGACATGCTGCAGTGACAGGGTGGACCAGTGGCTCCTAGGCTCTGGAGCCCTGCTAGGTGGTGTCTTCCTGCCCTTGGACTCTGAACTCCTGAGAAGCCAAGACCCACCACAGCCTCAGAGGGGGTGAGGAGGCGTTATCAGCCCTGCTGGACGATGAGGAAACAGAGGCCAATGGAAGTGCCACCCAGGATCAACAGCTGATAAGGAGCCTTCGAGAGCTCCCCTGGGCCCGGGCCGCCCGGCTCTACTGGGCAAGTGCTTCTCCCTCCCCGGGTTCCTCAGCAGCTTTAGTTGGGTTCCAGGACTTCTTGGCCCTTTTCCTCAGTAGAGGAACATATAGGGTGGGTTTTCTCAAGGTCATCTAGGCACCAGCTGTTGACTGGGGACTTCTATTAATTTGCATTGACAATATGGGTGCATTGGGTCTCTCTCAGGATGCCAGGCACTGGCCCACACTCATCATTTCATCCTCCATATCCTCACATGACATTATTGACCTCGTTTTACTTCTTCCTCTTCTTTGCTGCCGTACTAGAGATGGAGCTTAGGGCTTCACACATGCTGGGCAAGCGCTCTTCCACTAAGCTACACCCCCAGCCCTTCAGCCTCATTTTGAGAGGCTGAAACTGGGCTAAGGAAAAATAGCCCACATTCCCAAGAGCTCATGGTGCACTGGTCTTGTTCTCTCTCTCCCCTTCTCTCTCTCCCCCTCTCCCTCTCTCCCCCTCTCCCCATCTCCCCCTCTCCCCCTCTCCCCCCCCCACCCCCCCACCGTCCCACTGCTAGGCAAGTGTGGTCCGGTTTTAGGCATGTATTTAACCCTCAGAGTAATCTTTTTATGAAGTAAGAAGCAACCTATACCCAAATTTTAGAGCAAATGATGCAAAAGGTCAAGAGTGTTGATCAAGGCCCCAGAGCAGGTAGGTGGATTCAAACCCGTGCTGTCAGTTCTGGAGCCCGCACCCCTGGCCACCATGTGGGTCTGCAGAGGTCATGCTTAAGATCACCAAGTTGTAGGTGACCCAGTTGGGGTTTGAACCTAGAGCTGTGAACTTGAAACACAATTCAAATCCTGGCCACCCTGCATTCCACCTCCCCAGCCCCTGGGGTTAGAAACCTGGACTGCAAGTTGAAGGACTTGGGGCTTACTTGGCATTTGTTTTTGTTTTGGTGCTGAGGTGGAACCCAGGGCCCCACACAGGCTGAGCGTGTGGTTTACCCCTGAGCTGCACCCAACTCTGACATGACCCCTGTGTCCTCCTGGTGGACAGAGAGGCTGAGAGGCCTGAGAGGCTGAGGCCATGCTGCAGGAGCGGCAGGGAGGAACCGCCCTCCCTCCTCGTGCCCAGCGCACAGAGCTGTCCCCAGCACGCAGAGCTGTACCCCGCAGTACTCACCCATGCCTCCCTCTCTCCCTTGCAGACGGAGCCTGTGGCTGGCAAGGCCACCGAGCAGGGCCAGGCCGGGCCCTGCCCGCAAGGACGCCCAAACCCTTCACCGGCCCCCGAGCCACAGAGCCCACCAGGCTCTCCTGCTGGCCCCACCATGACATCGGAGCCCACGTCGCCTCCTGTGGTGCCCCCACTCCACTCCCCCAAGTCCCCTGTCTGGCCTACCTTCCCTTTCCACAGGGAGGGCAGCAGGGTCTGGGAACGGGGCGGAGTCCCTTCTCGGGACCTGCCCAGCCCTCTGCCGACCAAACGGACGAGGACATATTCAGCGTGAGTACTGGCTCCTGGCTCAGTCTCTGGTCTTCCCTCAGGACGGGGCTGACCCCACCCATTCCCATCCTCTATCACCCACTGTCCTCACCTGAGGACGGAGAAGCTGTGTTTGGAGCTTCCAGTAACTTCCATGTTTATTCCTTCATCCCACAAAAGTGTGCTGAGCTCCTGACCAGGGACCCAGAGATGAGTGAGACAAGAGCCCCATTCGCAGTTGCTCCCAGTCTAGGGACCCTGTCCCCCACCATCGACGCCTGGCAGGGATGGGCAAGGAGAACCCAGGCCCAGGGCCGAGGGCATGCTCGCGGGTTGGGAAGGTGTACCTGGTGAAGAAGGGCTCCGGTGGTCCGGGAAGGCGGAGCCGCACGGGGCTTGCCTTTCGGGAGGGGTGGGCAGGCTGGCCCTGTGGAGCAGGTCACTGGATGAGGCCATGAGGGTCGCAGTGGGGGGTTATGAGACCCACAGGGACACAGACTTGGCTTGGCCAAAGGGTGTTTTCCGTTTGTTTGTTTTCTGTGGCAATGTTGACTGTCCTGTGTCAGACCCAAGTCTGGGCACAGAGCCGATGCTTAGCAAATGGCAAGTGAAAATGAGTGAGGAATGCGTGGGTGACAGCAGCTTCAGGAGCGCGAGTTCCCTCGTGGGGAGGTACTCAAGCCCGGGCTGGACATTCTTCATCGGGATTCTTATAACAGGAACCCATTTAAGCCCAAACAAGGAGGGGAGGGTGCTGTGTAGACAGGGGGCACTGGCAAGGAGTCAGGAGACCCTCTTGCTGTGCTACCCTGGGAGAGTCAGTTTCCGTCTCTGGGTCTCAGTCAAATGGGGGGGTGTCAAATGGGAATGATGTGAAGTTGAATGAGCAGCATTCTGTGTTCCCACAGCCCTGAAGCCAGCTTCACAGGCAGGGCCCAGGGAAGGTGGGGTTCCAGAGGGGTCTCCCCAGGCCGCAGCTCCAATCCCCCTACCCTATCCCCAGGACAGCCCGGGCCTCGGCCGGCCCTGTGTTCAAGGGCGTCTGTAAGCAGTTCTCACGCTCGCAGGGCCATGGCTTCATCACCCCCGAGAACGGATCGGAGGACATCTTCGTGCATGTATCTGAGTGAGTTCCCTTCACCTCCTTGTTCCTGGCTCAGAGGGGCCTCTCCAGCTTCCCCCTAGGCTGGCGAGGTCTGTGTCCCTCTTGGGTGGGGCTGGGGGTGTGTGGAAGGAGGCAGCTGGGGCTGGGGGGGAGGGGGCATGCAGACCTCAGAGCCCTGGGAGCCCTGGGAGCCTGTTGCAGCCTTGTGGGGACCTGAGGGGCTGGACCAGCTCCCGGGCCTCAGCCGGGAAGGGGCCTTTGGTAGGTAATGACGGGGAGAGGTGGGTCTCAGCCTGTCCGCACCCACCCTAATGCCAGGCATGATGGAGGATCTCGGAGACCCACCCTGTGATCTTTCACCCTCAACTCCCAGAGAAGGAACTGTGTCTGATTCCCGTTTCACAGAGAGAGAGACGAGGCTTTGCTAGGCGATTGGCCCAGGCTCCCTGGCCTCTCTAGGCTGGGGACAGGCTGCCTTGCACCCAGGCCACAGTGGCGTCCGGAGAGGGGCCTGCTCTTGGGCTGACGCCCCTCTCCTATTCACCAGCATTGAGGGAGAGTATGTGCCCGTGGAAGGCGACGAGGTGACCTACAAGATGTGCCCCATCCCACCCAAGAACCAGAAGTTCCAGGCCGTGGAGGTGGTGCTCACCCAGCTGGCCCCCCACACCCCCCATGAGACGTGGTCTGGCCAGGTCGTGGGCTCCTAGGCAGGGGCAGCCACACCGGGAAGGCGGGCAGCAGCGGGCCCTGTGCCCCCACAGTGCTGCTGACCAGCCCCGGGCGGCCTCAGTGTGCACGTCCATCTGTCTGTCTGTGCTCGTGGCCGTGAGTGTGTGCCTCTACCCACCCGTGACCCGTGACTGTTGTGTGAGCCAGCCAGGAGCCGGACGGAGGGGAGGCTGCCAGCCCTGCCTTGGCCTGCCCCTCCTCCCTCCTCCCTGCAGCACACACCCAACCCTGTTGCCCCCTGTCCGCTGTTCACATGTTGACTGAGCTTCTGTGAGCCTGCGTCAGGCTCACAGGGACTCAGGGGACCCCTCTCTTAAGAGCTTGCTCCCCTCACTGCTGCCCGCAGCCCTGCTGGGCCCCAGCCCTGGTCCTGGGCAGACCCTGCTTGTGCTCCTGCCTCCTGCCCTGGGCTGGGGTCTCTGCCCTGGCCTGGCCCCTTTCCCTCACAAGCCAGGCGGGTGAGTGCTTTCAGGGAGCCTCTAGCTCCAGCAGGGGGAGAGGAGCCTCCAGAAAGGGGTTCTTGTTTCACTGGCCAGGCCCCCCTCGGCCTGGCAGTGGCTCTGAGCCCACTGAGGCTGTGTTCCTTCCCTCAAGGCAAGGAGTGGGGACACAGCTCCTCAGCTTGGATGGAGCCATCCCCTCTACCCTGACTCCCAAACTCTGTAGACGCTCAGCCCTGGGCCCAGCCATGACAGCTGCTGAGGATGTGCTGATGGACTGACGTGTCCCCTCAGGCCAGGCCTGGCCAGGCCCCTGAAAGATGGCCCTCAGCCTGGGAGACCATGGGCCTTACAAACCCAGGCCAGAACCCCTTCCCACAGGTCCCTGTCAGGCCCCTAGCCAAGGTGGTCCTCATCCTGTCCAGGCTTGGAGTCCCTATGGGACTAAGATTGTGTGTCTGTCAGAGGTGGCCTGGCCTAAGACATCAGGCAGGGCCCTGCCCACCACACCTCCTTCTAGAGAGCGCATACAGAAAGTGGTATAAAAGGGGTCACAGGCTCAAGGGAGGGCCCGCCAGGACAGTGGCTGTTATGAGACCCACTCTGCAAATAAAACTGGGGGCTCGAATACCCAGATGAGGGGATCAGTAACTGGCTGAGTGGCCGTGTAGGTGCCTAAAACCCAGGTGAGAGATCAGCGGGACATCTGCTTCTCACCCTTGCCCGGTGCCCACTCTACAGAGGCAGGGAGTCCAGAGCTGCTGGGGGCGCTGGCCAGCCCCAACAGTGGGCAGGGCCAGCCTGACACCCCCTCTGAGCTAGGCTTCTCCGGCAAGGCCTGTCCCTGAGGGATAAGGACCTGTGGCCCTCTTGGCTGAGGGCCTGTTGGTACAGGACTCCTTGCCTGCCAGCTTCCCTCCTGTAAGCAGACCCCCTTTCTAGGTGCCCTGGGGCTGCCTGGGGGGCAGTGGGCAGCAGCTCTCCTCCCCATTCTTGGGTCCTCCAGGCCCCAGTCAGAAGTCCTCCCAAGACCCCAGCCACGGACTCCCCATCCTTCCTAACACTGGCAATAAACTCTCGACTGTGACCTACACTGGCCCAGAGCTGCCTTTGTCCTGCAGGTTCCCTGGGGAAGGACGCACCAAACTAGCCCTTTTGGGGCTTCAGTGTATCACACTTCCTGGGTGACCCGTGCAGGTCCCAGTCCCTGTTTCCGCATCTGCAAAGTGGTGGCTATAAAGCATTGACTGGAGCCAGACATCCCCTCACACGCGTCCGACACCACACCTCATCCTGGGAATTTTAATGTATGTGACAAAGTTCTCTGAGATGTGCCCTCCCAACACTCTGCCCCTCCTCTGGTCAGGGCAGGACCAGGTGGATCCTTATCCTCCTCTAGCACGCGCCTCCTCCTGGGTGGAGGGAGACCTGCTTGGTTCAGAAGTACGAGCAGCAGCTGTGGCCAGAGTCACCAAAGTGCAAGATGGGGATACTCTGGGCACAAGGAGGACAGGAGCCAGTCTCTCCAGGAGCTGACTGGCTGGGGACCGTGGGCCTCGCAGGAGGTCCTGGGCCAGAGAAGGAAGGGCCCTGGCCTCAACAAGGCCAGGCTCTCTTCCCACCTGGGCAGGCTCAGTGGACGCCGAGATGCACAGGTGTGGGCCAGTCAGGCCTCGTGGGCTGTCTCTGGGAAGAAGATCTCTCTGCATCTCCGCACTGTGTCCTGAGGGGAGACCACGCTGTGGCCAACGGTCCGGGGATCAGCATAGATCTCAAAGTCATTCCCGCCCTGCACACAGGGAAGGACAAAGGAGACCCTGAGGTGGTGCCTGGAGGAGGAGCTTCCCTCCCCACAGGAGCTGCCCCTCCCCTCACAATCCCAGGCCAGACCCCAGGAGGAGCCACCAGGAAGTCCATGTTCACAGCCCTGTCAGCCCTGCCCTGACTTGTGTGACGGGTAACAAGTGTCCAGCCCAATTTGGGTCCTAGGCGCCCAATCTGCCTAATGGGGTTAGTGAGCATGGGCGGTCCTCCAGGAGCCCCCCCAAGAGGTCTGCTCTGTTGCCCTGAGTCCTGGCCTGGACCTCCAGTGTTTGGGTTGTGGGGAACCTGAGTGGGCTGCACTCACAGGGCTAGTCTCGTTCCCAAAGAAATGAATGGTGTCAAAGCTGTCCTGGTCCAGGCTGTCCAGACAGTAGCGCTTGTCCCAGCCCTCAGGGAAGACATCAAAGCTGATCATGCCTCCTGTGGGGCAGACAGGGGGCATGCTTAGTGCCGGACTCAGGATCTTCAAGGACAGTCTGATTCAGGTGCAAACGGATGAGGCCCTTAGAGGATGAGGCCCTTAGAGCGCTGGGGGAGCCTCACCCAGCCAGCATGGCCGGGTGGGATGTCTGGGGGATGAGCGCAGTGCCCAAGGCAGGGAGAGGCGAGGAGTGGCCCAGAAACACTCAGGCTCAGAGAGCAGGAACAAGTTGTGGCCTGGGCTCCAGGTGAGGCCCTGGGTTGTGTCTGGAGGAAGGAGGAGCCCGGGGGCCCTGTGATCAGCACAGGCTTTAACTGAGCCTGGCAGCTGGTCTCGCCCTTGGCCACTGGGTGAGGGGGAGTTTGTGGTCAGGGATCAGTTGTGTCAGCCACGTGGCCGTCCGGATGTGCTGCCAGTGGTGGGGGGGAGCGGGTGGGTCCAGAGGCCTCTGCCTTGGCCCTGGGACGTGCAAGCAGACTGAGCCCAGGAGGCATGAGGAAGAAAGCTCAGCTCCCGGCATGGGGCATTTGCCTGGGCAGGGGGTGCTGGGTCCTGGCAAATACTAAACCCCTGCCTGCTTGGAGCTCAGTGTGCCTTGTGCCCTGAGGGGTGGGCTCCTGGGCCAGGCCTCTCAGGTCCACTGTGGGATGGACATACCTCGGGAGAACCTCAATCCCTTGCCGGCAAACTCTGTCTTCAGGGCTTCCACAAACTTCTCTCGGATCTTCTCCTTCTGCAGAGGGAAGGGTGCAGACAGAAGCTCAGGAGGCCCAGCCCTATGCTAGGCCCTGTCCACACAAGCTCACTGGTCCTCTAGGTGGGTCTGACCCTCACATTACAAATGAGGAAACAGAGGTTCAGAGAGGGACTCTGCCTTGTTCAATCAAGGTGCCCAGCCATAGTGGCAGAGCCAGGGCCTGATCTGGAAGGTCCTCGAAATGAACCTGGCCAGATACCTGTCCATGGGTGTGGATGGGGTATTTTGAAAGAGGCCTGCAAGCAGAGGTGGGAGGAGGAAGGCCCCAGGGACAGGCAGCCCAAGTCCTCGTCACATGTCCACCTTAGGGCACAGTTCAGACCCATCAGCTCTGCCCAAGATAACAGCAAACTGTGGCTCAGGCACCAGAAATGAGTGTGAGAGGCCAAGGGCAGAAGACCATGACCAAGCAGCAGCAGGTCCCAGCACTGGTGTGGCATAGGACGCTGATGTGGCCTCGGCAGTGGACCTATTCATTGGGCATGTTCTGTGGGCTGGGCTGGGCGATTCAGCAGGACCCAGGAGAGCCCCCGCCCCTCTGAGCAGCACCTTGATGCGTGGAGCAGGGAAAAGTCGCTCTGGGCCTGACCCTGCTGAGACCATGGCGGGCCAGGCCTGGGGGGGCCACGGAACACGCAAGCCTGGCCACACATCTTGGCTTCTGGGCTGGGCGGGGCACGGGAACAAATGGAAAGGAAGCAGCACTGAGCTCTATGGGACATTCAGCTCGCAGAGGACTGGCTTGAGAGGTTTGGAATCATTCTGGGGGGCCAGGGGCCACTGAGGATTTCAGGGCAAGGGAGAAGAGTGAGTAGCACCACCTTGAACAGACTGGGTAGGGCTGGAACACAGAGGCAGGTGGTGTGGTACCTGGAGAGGTAGCCCTGGATGCCACAAGATAAGGGCATATAGGACTCCACCCGAGACCTAAGGACAGGCTGCCAGGGCTCCAGGCTTGCCAGCTGTGCTGTGTGGCCGTGGGCAGGTCATCGAAGTCTCTGAGCCTATTTTCTTGGTTAAGCATGGGGAAATGATTAATGAAGAGGGTGCTTCCCTCTTCTGGGAAAACAGATATGAGGGATGGGACACCTGCTGGCTCTGGCTCTGCCTTCCCAGTGGTTGTGTGGGCCCCAGGGAGGCCAGAGGCCCTCCAGAGGCCCTTAACTACTCCAACCAGAAAGATCCCTGTGGCTGTGGCCATGCCTACAGAAAGCCTCCAACACAGGGTAGGAGTCCTGTCACTGAGCCCCTCCCCTCTCAGGGAAGCACCAGTGGGCAGCAGGCTGCACCAATCTTCACTCTGCAGCCCACGGCCTAGGTGGCCCTCGGTATGTCATTTCTCCTCTGGCCTTCATTTTCACGTTCATAAAATGGAATTAATGCCACTTGTTTCATAGATTCAATCAAAGGCATTCCCTAGGCTGAGTATGGCTCAGCGTCGAGCGCTGGCCTGGCATGCACGAGGCCTGCGCTCAACCCCAGCACCGCAAAAAGACAAAAAGTACTTCTGGGCACTTGCTGTGTATGAGGCACACAGGAC